TGGAGTTGGGGGGATCCTCATGCAATATATGCATTGTATCTCTCTCTGGTAAACAGATATGTGTGCACACACAATATACACACAGACACAGATACACAGAGACTCACAGAGATACAGAGACACACACAGAGACACGTACACAGACATGCACATACACAGATACACAGATGCAGAGAAATACACAGACACACACGCAGACACACAGATACACACAGCAACACTGACACCCACTCAGCACCCTCAGACACACACGGACACAGATACACAGAGACACAGACAGACATGCACACACACAGACACACAGACACACAGATGGAATTGTGATGATGGAGGCCGAGATGGAGTTAGGCTGCGTTTCTAAGCTGAGGAACACCCAGGCCCCCAGAAGCTACAGGAGACAAGGAAGGGCCTTCTCCTAGACCCTTTGGGGAGAGCAGGGCCCCGCTGACACTGATTGCAGGCTTCTAGTCTCCAGAACTGTGACACAGCGCGGTACTGTTCTTAGAAGGCACCCAGTAGGTGGCACTTTGTTACAGCCGCCCAAAGACCCCTTGGTCTCCATCATATGCTCACTGCTTATGGTGCATGGGCTGAAGGGACAGAGGACAGCCTTCCTTCCATCCCTCCAGAGAAAACAAGGTGGGGGATGACTAAGCATCTTGTCCCAATCCTCTTCCTGTGTCCCCAGCTGCTCTGCCTCCTGCATTGGTGGCACTTTCCCTTCCACCCCAATGTGTGGATGGAGGCTAAACTCTGTCCTGACACCCACAGGGCACGTCCTACAATGCAGCCCCTCCCCTGCCTTCAACTAAGGTTCCTCAATGGGGGTAACTCCCGTAACTACACCACCAGCCTTGAGCTCCTCTGGGTTTTTGTCCTCAACACCAGTGAGCTGTTCAACATCTGCACCCACTGTCCCACCACCATCAAAACTCAACACCTCCACCCGCTGTCCCACCACGACCAAAACTCAACACCTCCACCCGCTGTCCCACCACCAAAACTCAACACCTCCACCCGCTGTCCCACCATCAAAACTCAACACCTCCACCCGCTGTCCCACCATCAAAACTCAACACCTCCACCCGCTGTCCCTCCACCATCAAAACTCAACACCTCCACCTGCTGTCCCACCATCAAAACTCAACACCTCCACCCCCTGTCCCACCACCATCAAAAGTGACGAGCTCCAAAGCCAGCCCCTGCCTTGCTGCCCCCATTCCTCCCACTGGTTCTACTCAAGGCCCTTAGACTCAAGCTCAAGTCCCTGGCCTCCTCCTCAAACAGGCAGCCAACAGGTCATCCTTCTGTTGCTGTCTCTGCATCAGCACCATCTTTTCCTATCTGCTGCCTCCACCCCCCTCCTTGGGTTTCCGAGGCGGTATCTCTATGGAAGTAGATGCCCAACCTTCCTTCCGAGGAGCGGCTGGTGGGGTTGAACCGCCAGCCTTCTGGTTAGCAGCCAGATGCCTTAGGCACTACGCCACCAGAGCTCCCACTCCACCCTGGGGCAGGCCTTCATCTGAGCATTTACTCATTAATTCAGAAATAATTATGGCCCAGCCACAGAGACCCAAGCGCTGTTCAAGGCGCTGACTGAGCACATTTAATAAGGTCATCTGGCTGCTGTGTGGGAGCAAGTCTAGACGGATGCAGGGGCACTGGGGTTGAGCCTAAACATGGATGTGGGGGCACCAGGGATGAGACCAGAACATGGACACGTGGGCTCCACGGACAAGATTAGACATGGACGCAGGGACAGTGGAGGTGATACTAGACGTGGAGGCAGTGACTCTGGGGACAATACTAGACGTGGACACGGTGACACTAGGGATGAGACTAGACGTGGATGCAGGGGCGTTGGCTAAGAGGCTCCTGCGGTTTCTCCCCAAGAGGCCACGATGCCTTGTGTTTGGGTGGTAGCCTTGGAGACAAGGGGATGCGGGCGGATTTAGGATCTGAGTGGAGACTTGTGCGAGTATCCTAACCAGCAGGTCCCGCATGAAGCGTTCTCTCCATGGTGGCTCTTAAGCTCTGTGGGGAAAGGGAGGCCATGAAATCACGGGGAAGGCCAGTCACTTCTCCCTGGAGGAATGCACTCTCACATAAACACTTACTGCAGGGTCAGGGCCCTGGTTTCTCTGCAGTCCAGAAGCCAGGCATCCCACTCCTTCATGCCTTCCTCTCTGACTTCATTTCAATTGGGCCAAAGATGCCCCATATGTGCATGTCCACAATGACATCTTGTTTCTGATGACATCCTCATGGAACAAACACTCACTTCCCCATCCTTGTGAGGCTGTGCAAAACGGAAGTAGACTGCCCAACCTTCCTTCCGAGGAGCGGCTGGTGGGGTTGAGCCGCCAGCCTTCTGGTTAGCAGCCAGATGCCTCAGGCACCACGCCACCAGAGCTCCCTAAAGTAACAGAAGGACATGGTTGGCTCAGTGGTCAAACACCAAGCACATACTTGAGCTGAGAGAGCAGAGAAGAGGAGCCTGGCCAGAGAGAGGCTGGAAGGCAGGGCAGCTTCAAGGTCATGGTGCCGCGGGCCGGGCGGGCCCACGGCTGGGCCAGGGGAGTCTGCGCAGGGCTAGGCGTCTGTG